GGCGCGCCCCGCCCCGGCGCGCCCCGCCCCGGCGCGCCCCGCCCCGGCGCGCCCCGCCCCGGCGCGCCCCGCCCCGGCGCGCCCCGCCCCGCCCCTTCCCGGGCTGATGGGCACCCGCGGGAACCAAACGCCAGCGAGCTTCCCCGCGTCTCGTTAAAATTTAAGAGCTTTGGTCTCATATGTTATAAACACCAGACATTTTATTGCAGCCTTACGTGTCACGGCTGAGCGGTGCCTGAAAAAGCGCCGGGGGACACACCTGGCAGACCGGGCTTTCTCGGTGGTCCCACTCCCGAGTGCCCTTAGGGACACAACAAGGAACTGGAATTTTGCTGGTGGGCTGGGAAAAGCGGTCGTGCCGAGAAGAGTAACATTCACCTGGAACCGCAACGCGACACAAGCCGCCAGCAGACGGGCAGCCATAGGAAACGCAGGCAAAGCCAGAAGAGAGGCAGCTGCCTTGAGGCCCGTAGCTGTCGGGTTACTCTCATTTAGGAATAGATTTTTTCGTATAAGGCTTTCCGTTGCACAGTTGAAAATCTATTTATCGAGGTTTAAAACCGCCGATCGTTGTACGAAACACGGTAACTCGCATCCACGTGCGTTCTCTCCTGGTAGCAGGACGCCGGTACCTCGGGGCGCGGCTCCGCAGACACCCCAGGGTGCGGTGCTGCTGCTCGGCACCCCCAGCACCCCGCTCGATGGCAGCGAGGGCAGAACCGCCGGCCCGAAGCCTCAGAGGTGCCTTCCACACTCCCCGCAGTTGCTCCTGCCCTCAAAGCCGCCGCCACCACCTGAGCCCGGCGAGATCCTTGTGGCCAGGATACCCGGGCGGCCGCAGGGCGTCTCCCGGCAGCCGCTTCGCTGCAGGCACGGCTCGGTAACAAACGAGCTCCGCTGCCCTCGGGGCCGCCGCCCGGCCCAGGTGTACCCCCCGCGCTCCCCGCGGCTGCCGGGACCGCGAAGTTCCGGGGCGGCGGGCGGCGACATTCCGCGCGGCGGCGGCGCGGGGCGCGCACCTGCGCGCTGGGAGGGCGGCGGGAGGGCAGGGGCGGAGGAAGAGGAGGGTGGTGTCAGGGGAGGGGAGAGGCGGTGTCGGGAGGGGGGCGCGGGCGGCGGGCAGGGCGCCGGTGCCGCGGCTATCGCGAGAGGGCGGCGCCGCGGGGCGGGGAGCGAGGGCGGCGGAGGGATCGCGGAGCCGGGGCCCGGCGCGGCCGTGACGGCCCCTCGGTGTCCCGTCATGGCGGGGGCCGGCGCCAGCAGCAGGGACAAGCGGGCGACGGCGGCGCGGCTGAAGGCGGCGCTGGGCGGCGAGAGCGGCGCGGCGGCGGCGGCGGAGCTGCGGGCGCTGCTGGAGCGGGTGCTGGCTCCGGCGGCGGGCCCTGGCGGCGGCGAGGCGGCGGGCGAGGCGCTGGAGTGGTGCCGCTGCCTGCTGTCGGGCGGGGAGCCCTGGGACAGCTTCGTGCAAGCCGTGCGGGCCTACGACCCCGCCACGCTGTGCGGCCTGGTTTGGACCGCCAACTTCGTGGCCTACCGGTGCCGGACGTGCGGGATCTCGCCTTGCATGAGCCTGTGCGCCGAGTGCTTCCACCAGGGCGAGCACGCCGGGCACGACTACAACATGTTCCGGAGCCAGGCGGGGGGCGCCTGCGACTGCGGCGACAGCAACGTCATGCGGGAGGCCGGGTGAGCGCGGGGCGGGCGGCGGGCACCTGCCGGAGGGGGCGGCCCGCGGGCGGCAGAGCTGTGCCCGGGCCGTGCCGGAGCGGCCCCGGGCCGCGGCCGCCCCGAGGGAGGCAGTAAGTGCGGCCCCTGCCGCCTCCTGGGCCGCCTGCCTCCGTCCCTGGCTGCGGCTCGGACCGCGGGCTGAGACGAGTCCGCCGCGGTTGGGCACGGTGGCTTTGTTGATGTGGGTGCGCCTTTTTTGTAGGACGCTCATGTGAATCTTTTTGCCCTTGCGCCGAGTGCCAGCCTTCAGGGAAGTTGATAAGGCACAGTGCATGGGAGGCAGTACCTGTCAGCTTCCAGCTAGCAGCCTTGGCCTAACGCAGCTAGCCGGGAAGTCAAAATGCTTTGGGACGGCATGTGAGCAGATAAGCCAAAGTGAACAGATTGAGCAAGAGGGACGCATTTTTTATGTGATTTCCCGGTCTGCAGTTCATTTTGCCACCTTAGCTTTAGAACGAGGGATGTGGTAGTGCTTGGATGAATACAACAGGGCAGGGTTTTGTGAAAGTCAAAGGTCTTTTGTATTCTGACCTACTGGAGGCAAGACTGAAGTGCCTGGTCAGAAGAGGAAGAATCCGGTACCTCATTAAACCCTCCTTTGTTCTCATATGTACTCAATGGTGAAAGGAAAGATCAGTTCAACCACTTACTGGATGAAGGTGATACCTAGCCAGAAAACTTCAAATTTTACTTCAAAATTGACTGTTTTCTGGAGCTCCTTGTGTTCCTGTTGGTTCACCAGGTAGCTAAAGGCTTCACTAGATGACAGTTTGGAGTGCTTGACTGAGGATTCTCTTCTGACAAACTTCCTAGCAGAAAACACTAGGAAAAGAAGCTCTAAAACGTTTTCCTTGGTTATTTTCTTGTTTTTGCAGATTTACAGGCTAAAACTCTGTATCAGCATATTAAGATTCCTTCTCTTTTTGCATTCCTGCTCAGAGATTTAATTAATTCTGCTTTTTATGTTTCTTGAATGTTGTTGCCTTGACTCCAATTTTTTGTGTCTCTAATCACCCTTCTCCTGCTGCAGGCCTTGAGGTGGCTTCAGTTCTTGTTTCTTATGCTTTTCTCGCCTTTTCTTTCTTTTGCAATCTGCCTTCATCATTTATTCATTCTTTTTTGGTGGACTCTTTTATTGATAGACTTACTCCAATGTCAGATTTTTTTTCCTCCTTTTGTTTTCAGTAATCTTCAGTGGTTTCAAGTTGCTACTGCTGAAGTGATTCTTTATCAGTTCTTCTTCAGCTTGTGGTGATTCTGCTTTCCTCAGCATCACTGAAGTAAGAGTTTCCCATGATCTTGAGAAATAGGAAAAAAATTAATACTACTACTTCCACTGTTCATTGTGGACTAGACTTAGAGCTCCTCTTAGTGGCAGGATTTTAACAGAGCACACACAGATTGAGCTACTTTAGGGTGAATATTAAAAGACTCGTGATGCTGCACTCATCCCAGACTGTATAGCTTTCACAGGTGTCTTTCCTTATTTTAAACAGTTTTCTTCTTGAGGAAATCTGGTTTAATAAAGAAGAAATAAAAAGTGCTGTTTAATTTGCAATATAAGCAGATGTAAGCCCCGAGGGAGTAACAATCTCATTTCTATGTACCTTACTTACTACTTTTAATGGTAGAATTTGAGAGTAAATTGTCTTGTTTGTAAGTTAGGTCCCTGTAGGAGTTTTGGTCACTAAAGGTAAAGAATTGCATATTTGTTCATAAGCAACACTTGACATTGAGCAGTGGATTTTCCAGTCCTCTTGGACATATAAGGAAGGCAAAACATGGCAGCATATGGGGTGTCTGCATTTAATATAAGGTCATTTCTGCTTATATAGGCAAGAACTGATGTTAAGCCATTGCAATTAGGCTTGCTGTGCAAGACAAAGTAAAATAAGCTTAAACTAATATAAAAAACAGTAATGTGTGCAAACAGAGTTTGGCCTAGTGACTTGAATTGCTGCAATGTAGCATATTTAGGTAGTGTTTTAACTTTGTGTACACAAATCAACTGCACAATTACAAAGGTAATGCTTTGCATGTCAAAGTTAGGAGGCCTTCATGGTGGACTTAGGAAACTGGGGTGTGTCTAGCCTGATATAACCTTGGCCACTACAGCCTAGGCTTCTATTAATAGCAAGGGAATCAAATGTGGAGCCTACTTACAAACTTTATCTACCATCTGTCTGTTCAGATACAATTTTATGTAGATGCTGTATATGAATATTATAGTAACATGCTTTTGTTTCTGTTCTTGTTATCTGGTCTTCATATTCATATTATTTATTTGATGCAGCTCAAAAATACTGCTCATGAGGTCTTAGTTGTCTGATCTGCTATAAAGGAAAACTCTCCAGTTTAGAATCTTTTCATTGCCTTTAAGGTGGTTAATGTAAATCTAGAGATAGTTTGCCCCAGAGTATGAGTGTGTGTTGATCTTGTAGTACTAATTAAATATATAATTTGCTTTATGGGGATACCTGAGTGTTAGTTTTTTATTTCTGGTGCCTTTATAAAAAGAAGCTGGAATACAGCATAATAGATGAATATGGATTTGCCTTAGGTACCTTGATTTGCTTTAAGTACCTTGTGTAATTGGAAAAATCAGATTGTCACATTTTTGAACCTTTTGATTTCCATGCAGATTACAGTGTTTTTGATGTTTAAGTTAATTGCAGTTGGCCTGATCTACTAGACTGCAATGTAGACTTTAGAAAATATCCAAGTTTGTAAATGTAGCTGCATGTGAAAGTATTAAAAATTCTTCCTGTGGTAAAGTTGAATAGATTTTAAAATCCATTGATATGTCAGGAGGCGGAAATAGTTTGTAGTAGTCTCCCATATGGTATCTAGCTATTAGCAAATGAAATTTAGCAAGTCCTTCAGAGGTAATCAATAATGTTCTGAAGAAGTAGAAGTCTTTGGTTCTAAAGCATTTTGACATATGCTTATAGTTCAAATGAGTTCATCTGTT